ACTCACTTTTTTGCTAAAACTTACTTATTTTGCAAGAGTTTGCTTAAGCAACAAATCGACATTTAAATTCGTGTTTTTCACGAATTTTCAATCATGAAAAAATATTAAGAAATGATGTGGAAATAACTCATTTTTCCTGATCCTTGAGTTATTATCCTTAATATAATGAAAATTATATTTTAAGTCTCTTAAATTTTTTCTTGGAGTGACATTTATTTCAATGACTGGTTGACGTTTGGTGGTTTGTTTCTGGGACATTTTAAGAATTAAATCTATATAAAAAGCAATAAAAAATGAACTAGAAAAAAAAAGAAAAAGAAATTGAAACAAAAAAATTGAATTCAATAAAAATTAGCAGTTCCTTTTTATATTGAAAAAATTACACTTGGAAAAAATAAAAGAAAATACCGTTACTTGTGTCTTTTTTCAGTTTTGTATACGTTTTCGAGTGAAAAAAATATTTCTTTAAACTTTGCTCAAAACGACGATATTTGTGTCTTTTTTTAACGTTTCAGCACGTTTATGAGCGAATTTTTGAACACTTTTCTTTAAAAATCATCAATTTTGGTTCAAAATGACGTACTTAACGACTGTTGTACCGGTTTTTTATGATTGAGTAATGGAATTTCAATTTTTTGATTTGGTGTTGGATCAAATCGTGTATTTAGATTAATATCATGGGATTTAAGAAATTTGTTGTGATTAATTTTTACGGTTGTGAATTTTTTATTGTTATTTGTAATTATCTGGAGGCAGAGGAAAAATCTTCAATTTTCGATTCGATTTGCTGTTTTCTTTATAAACGTTGATTCACACAATAATTCACAAAATAAAGCAGTTTTAAGATATTTCTTAGTTTTATTTTGTACACAATGTTAAAGAGTTTTTTTTATCACTAATTTCACTATATAAAGTAGTCCTTTATCGTCTGGTGAAATAAAGTAATTTTTATCTACTGTTTATATTTTATTAACTAATTTCAGTTGATAAAGTAGTCTTTTATCGTCTTGTGAAAAAGTAATTTTTGTCCACTGTTATATTCAAGAAATTCTGGTAGGTAACTGTAAAATAAAAGGAAATATTATACACGACGGTAAAGATTATTTATCTACTCGTGAAAAAAATCCACTCGTGACTTCGTCACTCGTAACACTCGTAGATAAACAATTTCTTTATCGTCTTGTATAATAAATAACTATTATTGGAGAACAAAAAGTTTTTTATTTTTTCTTTTGTATCTGTCCTGACCTGTCCCACACAACAAAAAACTGCATAACTTTATAAATAGGTATAATAAAAAAATAAAAAAATATATTTTCTGGATTAAGTTAAAATTTGCTGATTAAAAATGTTATTGTTTCAGATTTTATGCTTTTCAAAATTTGTTATTGTCGAATTTTTTACGGTTTTTAAAATTATACGGACTTGATTATTGATTTTTATATAAACGGCAGTCGAGACGATTTTCAAAGTAATCGCATTATGAAGTTCCTTGGAATTGTGTTATTTTCGTTTTTACTTGTCGCTTCAAGTTTTGGTAAATTTTTATTAGTGTTTGCGTTTTTTTTTATACATGGATTTTGTTTTTAGCGCAAAGGGCCAAAGTTTGGTCTAATTGGAAACCAAAAGGAGATGCTCATGTCCCAAGAATGAAACCACCATCTGGACCACCACCTTTTTACGGTGGTTGGCATAAGGGAAATGTGGGAGTATAGATTTTTCTAACACATTTTGCCAGGAAAAATATTGTCCTTACCAAAAAATAAAGCAATTATAAAAGATTTGTTAGTATTACTGAATCTCCTATTTATCAAATAAGATTTGATATTTCCTTGTCCCTAAATAGGACACAAAGCTTCCTAAAAAATAAACCACGAGAAAAATGTGTTTGGGAGAGGAATAAATAATGCAATTTTTGCCATAATTTAGTGTTTTTTGGTTTAATTTCGCGAAAAAAATACGCTTAAAAGGCACAAATGAAACGATTTTTAATCAAATTTGCTGATTTTTTTATTTAATAAATACTTTTTGAATCAATTGCGTTTATG